CAATTTGGTGTTTGAATTCAAAATAGATATTTACAATGAATTTTAGTGTATGACCAAGTTCTACATTTGTGAGTGAAAGTATGTAGCAATAAACACTAACCCAGTTAGCTTATACATACTATCTTTAAATATCGTATCAGACTGATTTAACATGCATTCACATGCTTCGTCATCTTGTAAACGTTCAGAAACATTCGACTTAAGCAGAGATTAATCATGAAACGGTATTAAGAGAACGAATAAACATATTTGTAGATTAACAAACAGGTACAACTGCGCTTCAGTAGCTATTCAGCTTTTTATATAATTATTGGTGACCCTACTTTTGGTCGTGACCCATTGTTTAAATATCAGGGGGGATACAATAAAAACTAGATTAGTGTTAGACAGCAATAACGTTATGTTGTATATTTGTTTTCATTTTTCACGAACAGACCAAAAAGTTTCATGAATTATATCCTAATTAACCAGAAAAAAATTAACATTTCAAATATTCAATCTTTAGGTTTGAAAACATGCAAAAACATACCAAACCTAAATATTTGGATAGCAACATTTGCGATTTTATCTACTTCAAATTCGTTTTTCTCAAAAATTGTGTTTTGCTAGAAATTGAAAAATGTGTCTTCTTGACACCTGTAATGAAACGATGAACTAGTAAGACCATAGAAAAACGCTTTAACAGAGCCCCATGGTTTATCGTTGCAGTACAATGTTTATATCCTTTTTTTTACAGATCAGAGCACAATATGTATAGAGTCAAAAACTCAATGCCGTCCCGTTAAGAATTCTGCGAAACCTATCAAGAAAATCGCCGCAGGTTTCTACTTTGATGATAAATGGTACTCCAATGACTGCACCCTTAAGAATATCAGTGTCCAGACAGCTTTAACTTCCGAGATGTTGACCAATAAGCGTTTCTTTTTTTACGGAGATTCGACGTTGCGACAATGGTTCGAATATTTCGCCGCAACTACCAACACATCAATAACTCCGGCTACGCCTGGCGCAACAACACAAACTGGGCCTTTGTCAGCAAAATCAGATAAATATAACTTGACATTCTTTTACCGGCACCACTCATTTCCAATACGGACAAAAACAATGCTTGTTAAGAATGCTGCGTACGCTGCCAACGAGATCGACAATATAGCCGCAGATGAAAACACTATAATCTGTTTGTGTTTTTTCGCCCATTTTACACCGACAGGCTTAGATGTTTACCGGAGTCGTTTGAAAACGGCTAAAGCTTCGCTTTTAAGATTGTACAAAAGAAGTCCCAAAACTTTAGTTTTCCTCAAAACTCCAAACACTTTAGCTTATCGTGGCTATATAACTGCAGTAAATAAAGGCGACTGGGTTTCTTTACTGTTGGATAAAGAATTACGGGAGGTAATGGCCGGGCTTCCTAATCTTACGATTATTGATGTATGGGACATGACAACTAACCATAGATTGGGCGAAAATCTCCACCCTCCTCGGCCTATAATTCAACAAGAGATCCAGCTTATGCTATCACTTATTTTCGCTTGATTATCCTAAGGATGTTATCTTGTTTTCTTGTACCTTTCCTTTTTA